AGGGAGGGAGGGAGGGAGGGAGGGAGATCTAGTTTGACATAGCTGGGGCCTTTCCTTCTCTCACCATGCTAATCTTCCACTGTAGCTTGGAGGAAGAGCTAAACGGACCTGCCCCATTTTACACACACAAAATTGGGTCTTATTGTTCTTGTCAGTGCATATCCAGGCACTGACATTTTGTAAAGAGATAGAAGCCAAAACTTGATAGGCAGTCAAGCAGTTAAAATAAGTTCCTCACTGTGTGGCTTATCCAAACAAAATCCTACCATAGCTTCTTCTGAAACTGGTAGAGAGTATTGAATTAATTTCGGTTTATCTAATTTAACTCAGCTCAATAACTAATTCAAAGTCATGAAAATGACCGTGTGCTGAAAGCTTTCAGGAGGAGAGCTTTCACTACCTCCCTGCCTGTGATGGGAAACCAGGTGTGACAGACATGACATATATTTGCTCTAAAATTACAAAAAAAATACAGCAGCCAGAAACAGTTACTTCAACTCTCCATGGACAGATGCTACTCCCTTTCCTTAATAAATCAGCATGGAATACAAAAATAACTTAGTGCATTCTGTACTTTCAGACTGAACGCCACAATGAGGCTTCAACTAACGACAACAATGTTTAAAAGCGCGTGTTTTCAGCGCTTCAACAAAAAAGGACACCCTCACAGAGCGCCACCTAACGGCCGCGAGCGACATGGTGGCGGGGAGACGGGGACTACAACTCCCAGCATGCTGCGCTCCCGCGAGCCACGCGCCGGTCTCCTCCTGCCCCGCTTTGCATGCCGGGAGCTGTAGTCTGGCCGGCGTGTGGGGGTTTGCGCGGCGATTTCCCCTCACGCGCAGGGCGGGCGCGAGGCTCGGGGCGTGGCCGCGTGACGGTTGGGCGGAAACGGCCCCGCCGCCGTTGCCGCCGTCCGGTGAGGGGACTCGTTCTGCGTCTTGTCGCGGGTGGGGACGGGAGAGGGTCGGGCTTGCGCTGCGGGCGGCCGGTAGAGCTGCTTCCCTCCTCCCGGCCGCGCGCACCTCCGCCCTTCCTCCCCCTGCGCGGGCCCTGCCGTCCGTTAACGGTCACCGTTCGCCCGCCGCGCACGGCAGGGGAGGGCTCGGCCGCAGCGCGCCGAGCCGGGGGCACCTGCTGCTCCGGAAAGTTAGCCCGCGGCGAGGATGAGCTCTTGGAGGCGCCCCGACGTGGCCCTGAAAGTAAAGCGATAGTTGCTGGAGGGCGCCTAAACTCCTCACGAGTCTCATGTCGAGCATGGTCTAAAAACAATGTCCCTGTCCCGTGTCGAAAATCCGTGTTTTCTGCTCTTCCTGCTGCTCTTCCAAGCGATATTTATCCTGATACTGTACCAAGGTGGACCTTCAAATGTGATCCGTGGGTTTTTAGAGTCGCCTCAGATTCAGGATTACTCAAAAACTCATGATGTCTATACAAACCTCAGCCTTTTTACCCGAGCACCTAATGAAGAAACTATGCCGTACTGCTCGGTGCAGTCACCAATATTTGGTATGTATAAACCCGTAGTGTTTGCTTTGGGGTGTAATGACATTGCACACTCAAACCCAAAACCCGATGTGTTTTGCCTTTTAAAAGGTACAGGTTATGTTTCATAACTGTTACAAATCTACAGATTAAATTATAGGATATAATATGTATTTTGCTGATTGATATAAACCGCTGTGATATTAAGGCGTTCGCAGAGATTGTAGGGGAACAAGAATGAAAATGAAGCACAATTTTAATATTAAATTAGGAAAAGGTTTTTATCATACAGTGTTTTTTTCTCATTTGGTCATGTGTCAGATGTCTGCCAACCATGTGCTTTGGGAATCATCTTAAGTCTAGAAACTGGATACCTCTGTACTCTGATTCACCAGCGTTCTATTTTTCAGCCTTAAGTCGAGCCTGTGACTCAAGCTGATGATAGTTTTAAATAAAGCTTCCATGAGAATAAGGCTTGGCACCCTCAAAAACTTGGTATCTTATTTTCCTTGGGGACTTTGGTGGTCTGTGGTTGTTTGTGTTTCCTAGACCTTTTCTTTTAGGCTTAAACCTTTAAGTGGAGTCACGAGTTTCGCATTAGAGCTGGGGCTAGAGGCAGCCTTAATTCGATTCCTGCGCTACTAAAATAGGAAATTGAGAAACTTTGAGTAAATGTGAAGTCAACCCCCTAAAGCAAGTCTGTTAGAGTGTAGTTAGTATCTCTGCTAATAGCAAATCAGTTCCACCAAGATAGCTAAAAATGGATGAATTCTGTATCCATGCACATACAGTTTGCTTGGCTATTCTTCTCAGTGTACTGTGCAGTAAGCAACACTTCTAAGTTTTTCTGTGTTGAACAGAATTCTTTAATTCTCTATATAACTGGTTTTACTGTACTATTTAGTAATTGCACTGGCGTTGTAGGAAAGCAAATCACTTCAGCTGGAGCATAAGAGAAAATGCCTTATCATGGTTCCCAGGAAGGGTTGGGGAGAGCGGGTGCTGTATGTTATGTCAAGGTATGTAATGATGCTAGAGGACTCATCTGGGACACTGTGGTGAGACTCTGGGCTCTGCAGTATTCATGTTGATGTTTGTTCTTTGGGGGCCTTAAATGAAATACATGTAGGATGTGTGATGAAGTTGTTAGATGCTTCTGTGGTATATACACTTCAGCATTTTGCTTGGAAACTGGTGTGCTAAGTAGGTGCTACTGAAATACTCGTAGTACAGAGCCTTTTGTACAGGTGCTCATTGTTAAGGTCTTCGTGTAGTCTCTGTTCATCACTAACTAGCACCCATCAGTTCTTTTGCAAAGCTACAATTTTGTATCCCAGCCTTCTTTGTTTTATTTAAAAGCATAGTGGAAATATGCTTGGGTCATGGCTCTTTCCACAACTGTCAAGAATCTGCTGCCCAGAAGAGGTGGGTGAGGAAACTGTGGTCTAACTGCAAAGCTAGATGTGCCTTCACATCTCCTTGCAAACCATCAGATAAGCAAGGCTAAGTGGTATGTGTGRAGGAGGCAGAAGCGGAGTAAAATTACACTAAAATAAATGTAGCTTTTAAAGCTACATAAAGCTTGTAAGACCTCTTATTCCCTCCATCACTGGGAGCACTGAGAATGGGGGATGGCATGCATATGGTACTCCARAGCTAAAATGAAAACATAGTGTTGTCAGTTACAAACAAATATAAACAGCAAAGTTCACTTGAAGGGGGAAAAAAATAAATAAAAAGATCCAAATGTTAGGAAATTTTGCTATGCTAGAAATTAGCATTGAGTGTGTGAAGGGTTGTTGCTGTGAAGCACTTAAATAATCTTCTGGAGTGTTTATACAGATTCAGTTTAGGAAAAAAAACAACCTGTTAGACTTATTTTTTTCCTTGGTGATATTTTTATTTAAATATAAGGAACAAGGGAGGTGATTCTGCCCCTCTACTCAGCTCTGGTGAGGCCGCACCTGGAGTACTGTGTTCAGTTCTGGGCACCCCAGTATAGGAGGGACGTGGAGCTTCTGGAGAGGGTCCAGAGAAGGGCAACCAGGATGATTAAGGGAATGGAACATCTCTCGTATGAAGAGAGGCTGAGTGAGCTGGGCCTGTTTTCTCTGGAGAAGAGAYGGCTCAGAGGGGATATGATTAATATGTATAAGTTCAGGAAGGGAGAATGCAGGGAGGAAGGGGACAGGCTGTTTTCACTGGTGGCCAGCGATAGGACGAGAGGTAATGGCCACAAGCTGGAGCATAAGAAGTTCCGTCTCCAGGTGAGGAGSAACTTCTTTACTGTTAGGGTGACAGAGCAGTGGAACAGGCTACCCAAGGGGGTTGTGGAGTCTCCTAATCCGGAGGTCTTCAAAGCCYGCCTGGATGCCACCCTGTGCCACATGCTGTAGGTGTGCCTGCTTGAGCAGGAAGGTTGGACTAGATGATCTSTAGAGGTCCCTTCCAACCTTAAATATTCTGTGAATCTGTGAAGTTATTCTCTCTGACGTTATTCTATGTAAACTTCTTCTAAGTGTTTTCTTTTGGGGGAGAGAGAAGGGTTTGGTTGTTTTATTTTTTTCTTTAAAAGGACCTAGTACTCTCAAATACTTGTTGTTCATTTTCCTATGTACTGGGCACAAAGGAAGAGATATATAGTTAATAAATGTCTTGATTTATTATAGTTTTCTCTCATGGGTCTGACTTCTGTTGAAAACCTTACATCAGAGAGAATGATGCCTTTTAATATTAATTTCATAAACTCTATTAAATGATATTTGAAATTGATTCTTGTGAACTCCAGTATCCAGTTCAAAGCTGTTAATAAGTCATTGTGTCCACTCCAAAGTGTGTTAAAGTAGCTGGAAGAATGCCAGGTGCATTCAATGGGTTCTGGATCGGGGCTTTATGAAGTGCAGCATTTTGTCCACTTAGGTGCACAGTAAATCATTTCAGTGGTCATTTTGAATGCAGCATCAGCTCGTAGCTCATCCTTTTTGAGCTTCCTGAATCCATGGCATATTATTTCTTGTAGGGTAGTGGAGTAAGAATTAACTCTAAGTATAATTGCCTGGGAGGAATTGAGCTTTTGCTGACTATTATTTTTGCTGCCTGTTACATTTCTAAGCCTTAGTGTACTAGATATTCAGTGTCTTCATTAGCGCTGAGAATGAGTTATTTCAGTTTCCTGAAAGATTTCTACACAGATACCAGTTACCTGCTTCTTTCGTCATTGTTTTCAGGGAAAAAAAAAATCATTCATATGCTCAAATGGAGCCTTTTAGACTTTGCCCACTGGCATATGCGTTTGAAGTCTATGCTTCTCACTTTGCTCTGTGTTGCCTCTTTCAGTTCATCTTTTCCTCTTATGAGGAAGGAGCTTGATGCTAAAAGAATTGGATTTTTTTTTTTTTTTTTGAGATACCTTATTTCATGTATAATGTGTGAGTCGATTTGGCCTTTGCAGATTTTAATAGGTCAAAGTTCTGTCTGTAACTGCTGTTTTAAATGTGTTTGAGCCATGGAAGAAATTTTTCCAACTCCTTCTTAGAGCATTTACTCCCTTTTCCTCCTATCTGACATAACCTTTTCATGAGCATGTCCATCTGTTCTGCTAATGGATACTCTCCTCCTAAAGTTTCTTTCCTTGGTATTTGAAGAGAAGTAAAAAGTGCAGCAGTGGTGCTGAGATATATTGCTGCTGTTGAGGCAGCATCGGGGTCTATCATTGGAAACTGATGTTTAAATTAAGGCTGTTTGCTTTCATCCAAGTGGTGGTACAGTTATACATATATGACTGCATTTTTCTCTTAGATATTTTCATTGAGCAGAACACACACACTCAAGTTTATGTCCTTAAAAATACGCAAGTTACCCCATTTCTTCTGCTGAGAAAAGAATATATGCAGGGGGGAAGACTGAGCAGAACCATGAGTGAGTGGGACAAAAAAGCATGTGCCATGAGTTGGATGCCTTTACAAAGAAGGAAATTGCTCCGCATTATTTGGCTGATGAGCAGGACAAAGGAATACAAGCAGATGGGAAGACTGAGCAGAGCCATGAGTGAGGGGGACAAAGGGAGTCAGGTGACCTTAGGTGACAACAGATGGAAGGAGGCAGGGAGTTGGTTATAGGTGGGCCGGGAAGGCTGTAACTTCAGAGTACCTTGTCCAATGGGGAAGAGGAGAGGGCTACCTCTCTTGGGAAATCAGGATAAAAGAGGGCTGAGGCCTCCAGCAACTTGAGACACCTCACAGGGGTATGCCGAGTGGACTCTTTATTTGAATCAAGTTTTAGGACTCCTCTGTCTCCTTTTTGGACATCCAGTTCTYGACAGCGAGATTTTCCGCACATAATCCACCCTGCTGTTTCTGCTTGGCTTGCTTGTGAAAGTTTGACCATCCATCTTGACCTTGGTAATTGTAACTGTTTGCTCTGAGTTAAATTTAAAGGAAGAAGGTGTTGAGGAGTCGTTCAGTTCCTTTTGTAAGGTAGAATAAGTCTGATCAAAAGCAGTAGATTCCCCTGATACCCAAATGTGTTGCCTAAAAAGTAAAACAAGCAGATAGTGCAGTGAGCTGTCACTGTAGCCAGCTAACAGTGTAGGTGGGGAATTGTGATTTTTAGCTCTTCATGTTAAAATTTTTGGTTCATTTTACACACTCACGTTTTGGTGGGACAGACGCAGGAAGAGCTCAGGAGCCAGGCTGAGGAGAAAATTGTTTGGATGCTTCAAAATACTGATTTTGCATTTTGTCTCAATTGGGATTCTGTGCTCTGTAGCATACTTAAGATGGATTTTGCCTCCCCTCCTGAAGCTGAGCTTTGGCTTTTTTGTTTTTGCCTATTTGCCCTGTCCTCATCTGGGATTTAATCGGTTTACAGTGCATTAGACTTTTATTAGCTGACGTTAGACAGGAAGGAGGTTAGAGAGCCAGAACTTAGCTTATAGTCAGGGAATGAGGGGCAGCCAGAGGTTTTGGGGTTAGAAGTTGCAGATTTTAAATTCCTTGTCTGTTTTTCCTTGGAACTTGTCAAGATTGAGTTTCTGAGCTGAGCTGTTTGGGATATGGAGCCAGGCAGCTCAAGAGAACATAACATTTTGAAAAAACTGATGAAATGCAGACATAATCCTCATTAACTGGATATCTGGGTGCAGGACAGGAGTGAAGCTGTTGCATGGTGTCTCACTCTTACCTTTACGTTCTAATTTAGATTTGATTTTTGAAATTTAAGGTTTAACACTGTAAATTCTACTCTGCAATAGGAGGGGCCCTGATTGTATTAGAGAAAATAATATCATGCTTTTGGGGGAGAATAAAAGGGTTTAATTCCTTTTCTTACATTCTCCTTGGAGCAATGATGTGTAGATGTAATCTAATCTAAATGTAACATCTCTTCAGCAAGCTCCAGTTGCTACCGAATCAGTGGTTAATGGCACTTCAGTGGAAAAAAAATGATAATGAGGGAGTTCATAAATATAAAAAGCAACATAAATGACAAGTTAAAAACAATGTTAGGTTGAAATGTGGCCTTCTAGAGGCAGAATAGGAGGAAGATGGCTTCACAGAAGTAGATAATAACATGATATCTTAGCAATAAATATGATCTAGATTCGTGGGCCTTCAGTCAGCTCTGAAGAACTGCAGCTGTTCTGTTCTGGGCATAAATACACTGCTGTATTTGCATATTCCTGTTCAAGGTAACACAGCCAAAATCAAACTCCCCTTGTGTTTTAGAAGGCAAAGGAAGTATTCAAAAAGAATACTTAAAGTTTAATATTGCAACCCCTTGTCATTTGTTGACAAGGTAAAGTCGGGTTTTCCTTTTTAAGGCAGACCTTAAAGTAAGATTCTGAGAGAACAATCCTCTGTGAAGTCTGAGGAATGGGATCCATGCTGTCCAGACTGCCCTTCGGGAAGGGCAGTTGTGCATGTTTTTTTTTGAGGAGGAAAAGGAGACTGTTGCTGATAATAGCCTTGCCTGTCAGAAATTTGAGCTTCTGCATACAGTACATACAGGAAAAATGTTTCCCATTTCTGAATGGACAGCCTGAGTGTCATCTCACCCAAAAAACAAAGGGCAGTGYGAGGTCATGTTGCTCCTTTTTGAGTCTGCTAAACAGAATGGGGGTGAGTACAGGTTCGCAGTGTTTTCTGTGCTGGAACTGTAGCAGAGATTTGAGCCTAGGATGAGCTTGAAGAAGTACCTTTGGGATAAACTCGCTTAAATATTCAGTAGAAGTAAGACTCGCACGTACTTTACTATGTTTTTAAACATGAATACTTGCACTAGATACCTCTAGCATTTTCCGTAAATGCTTATTCTGTCACTCCTAGGCTTCATTATCTTATGTTTCTGAAAGATTAGTTTATTCAGTGGTTTAAGTGGGAGTCTGATTTTTGGGGGGT